CTGCACACTGTGACTATAGTTTTCACTTGTAACACACATCACTTCCTTGTATAAAATTCATCAAAGTCACCATATAATTATGTATGTGGTAATAAAAAATGTATTTAGAGCTAAATAAAAGTTCAAAGTGGAGCAAAACCTGTGTACAGATGTACAAATAATTCCTTTTCTTTGTCACACTTTGGGACACGTATTTGCAAAAAGAGATGCTGGAAAGTACATTCTACTACTTTCCAAATATTAATTGATGAATTCTTGTCACTGAGCTAACTCCAACCACCTTTCTACTGTATTTATATTTGGATATTATGAAATCATAACTATAATACATCATACACAGTCTTTAATTTATATATAGTATATAACATATAATTCCAAAAATAGGTACACTGTTGTCTTATTACTTAGCTTAGCCACCAAAGTGGAACAGAATGTTCCAACATAACAAGTTTTCTTGGCAGTCAGCATTTTTATCATATTTACAAAGAAACAAGTATATCAGTTCCATAAAAAAGAAATTACTCCTACTTGTCCTTTTAAAGCTGAAGTTGACTAATTTAAAACTTTGGGGCCTCTTTCTAATATTCAACTGTACAGTCTTCATTGTTACCGTATATCCCAGACTATATGATGCACCCACATTCTATAAGGGAACATTTTAGGAATATATCTGCTATACTTCCTGACTACAAGACACAGATTTTAGGCAGCATTTTCTGGTAAAAAAAAAAAAGGTATATCATATTCCATAAAATATGGTAACTTCTAAATAAAGTGAATAACAATGTTTCCACTTATTTATAATAGGTGTACAAAACTATGTGCTGTAGAACTGAGGAATCTGTTAAACATGTTACCTTTATTCTCAGAACATCCGTAAAAATTTGTGTAAGATTACGTATATCGTACGGTATGAACGAAACGTCGAGCGTTGACACATTGAAGTTTGAACTTCTGAACCCTCTCTATTTCACAGAGGAATTATTGGAACATAACAAAATTCAGTTTCAAAAGTAACAATTTGTAAAACAAGAAAACAACCTGAACTCAGAAAGACTTAATACTCCTAATGTTATATTCATGCATAACCATCTATAAATCTTCATTAGTCAGCTAATGAGTTTTGTTCTTACCAGATCTCTTTCTTGCATTCTTCTGTTTTGATATTGTAACACCATGAATTTGTGAGGAGCTAAACTCCTTAAGCATTAAGCTACCAGTAAGCTTTGAGAGTATGAATTATACAAATGTAAGTATGATAATCAAATGCCACTGGCATGGTACATTTTGGGATTCCAAAGCCTAAGTCTTCGCAGGTTTTAATATGCATGTACTACTAGAAGTGATGTAACTTGTGTCACCACATAAAACTAGAAGTTAAGTTTAGAATAAAAGGATTTATATCAGGACCCTCTGCCAAAAGAATGAGGGACCTGTTGAAATTAAACAGAGATCTATTAAGATGGGTGGTACGATTACTTACTGTACACTGCCACCTAAAAGGGCACCTTTTTAAACTGGGACTGACAGATGACCCAACCTGTGAAAGGTGCTTGCAAGAAGACAAATAAGCCACACACATCCTATGTGATTGTGAGGCTATAGCTTACTTAAGATTTTGCCACCTGGGTCAGTTCTTCATGGAACCAAGTGACTTTTATGATGCCCCCATAAATGAAGTCCTACATTTCATTCGAAGTGTAGGATTAATAAAGGTTTAATCCAAAGGGAAAGCACAATAGATCATTGAAGGTCACAGTGCGAGGGCCAGATTTTATGGCCCACCCCTCATACTCATAAGTTTAGAATAACTTGATAGTTAATTTGATTTGTTTCATTCTGGTCCATCACACTAACAATTACAAAGACAAAAACAACACCGTCCAGTGTGACTATTTAAGTTTTATCACTTGAAAATGTGACTGTCCAAACCTTTTAAAACTCTTCAAGGGAAGAGTTATGGTCCTCTTTAGCCATTTCAGTAGAGTGACTGATTTATTGGGGAGACCGATTCATTAGCATTTTATGATTTGCTTTTCGCATCTGGACAGAAATAACTGCCTTGTTTTGTTACCTGCAGCTTGGGTGAACAGAAAGGGACGAGGCCACCACAGGAGGAAAGTCTGTAGTTTGCCAAAGATGTAAATTTTGTTTTGCTGATAGGGTAGCTGTTATAAAAGTGTCTTCGGAAGGGTGTAATTGGACCCTAAACTAAGAAATAACCGCTTTCACATGTGGGGTACTGGGTTCTGTGTCTTTGGATCTCTTTATTCTCAAAGTTCGTTATGTGATTGTCTAGTGCTGATTGTATGATGGATTTGGCCTGTTAAAATCAACCAACAGGAAACTATTCTTGTCTGGGAGAAAGGCCGTCGATCCAAATCCTATACAAATGATGAAGCGACACTCCCGCAGGATAGAGTTTTCAAGGAATTTGGCGTTTTGAATTCATCAGAGGCAGACGTCATTGGGCTGCACTCTCCAAGTTTATCTAAATTTATCAGTCTTTATTTGGTACGATTAATCTTTGATAATAATAAAAAGGGCACATTACTCCATACTTGCTAATAAAATTATAGTGTTTGCTTCTGAAATAAACAATTTGTGGAGAGCAGAAATTGTGTCGTTGATTTCTAGCAGTGGACGGGTTTTAAATGTGCAGTTTCCCCGTTGCCTCTGTTATTACCGTGACACGATCCTGAGAAGAGTCAAGTGGTCTACTGAAGCCGGCAAATAAATACAAAGACAGAAAGGGGACGGTTAAAAAAACTCATCACCCTTACATGTTTCGATCCCTACAAATCATCGTCAGAGGGTATCAATACTTTTTCCGGAAACTACTATTACAATAGGTGTTAAATTATATACATACATATATAATGTCTGAAATACACAATGTTCAACTTTTCACAGTCACAGCAGCCTTCCTGGTATTAAGATTTTTTTAAGTTCTTTAAAAACTTTGTTGTTTAAGATTAAAATTTATAAACCATGCAGGTTCATGTCAATTCTCCTATTGTCTTTCCTGGAGGTGGCTGATCTTGTGCCGCCTGTCTATCTTGAGAAAGGAGATTCTGCAAATATATTATGGGTATGGTATTAATTTCAGTGACCCTACTGTATATATATATATATATTTTTTTTTTTTAATTATTGTGACATGTTGTGCAATGGAGGACACCCCTCCCTCCCCAGCGGTATGTGGCGGCATCGTAGC